TACAGGAAACGGTCAATACCTCACTCTACAGGAAACGGTCAATACCTCACTCTACAGGAAACGGTCAATACCTCACTCTACAGGAAACGGTCAATACCTCACTCTACAGGAAACGGTCAATACCTCACTCTACAGGAAACGGTCAATACCTCACTCTACAGGAAACGGTCAATACCTCACTCTACAGGAAACGGTCAATACCTCACTCTACAGGAAACGGTCAATACCTCACTCTACAGGAAACGGTCAATACCTCACTCTACAGGAAACGGTCAATACCTCACTCTACAGGAAACGGTCAATACCTCACTCTACAGGAAACGGTCAATACCTCACTCTACAGGAAACGGTCAATACCTCACTCTACAGGAAACGGTCAATACCTCACTCTACAGGAAACGGTCAATACCTCACTCTACATCTCTGAAAGAACACTATAATTCACAGAGAAGCAACTAATTGGTACGATTTACACCAATAACTTCCCTGTGTGGGTTCTGGCAACAACAACAAAAAAGACACCCTACCCCTAACAAGCATTATGTGACTAATTAGGGATTTCCTTAAATCGGATATGTTAGTCTGAAAGATGCAAATGTCACAGTCTAGCTGTAAACCACAACCCAGTATGCCAACAAACCTTTTATGGATAAAAGCAGAAGAAGACTAAGAACTTAACACTGCTGTGTTCATTTCAACATATTCAATACATAAAAATTTTTTTTAAAAACACATGGACGATAAAGCAACCTTAAGAAAAGAAAAAAAATGGTGACTGGAGACTTAACGTGCTTTCCTTTAATATACAGGGAAACAGTAAAAGCATGGCCAGAAATTCAGTTTTTAAGAGCAGGTGGAGAAAACTTTCTCTTTAAAAAACTTCTATTACATAAAGTATTTTAAATTTAAAATTCTGTCAATCATGGAAACATGTGAATAAATGTGAATAAGAACTGTACAGTTAATTAAAAATATATAATTAAAAGCTAATAAATATGTATCATATTACGGGTATTATACTACAATAAATGTGACATATGTCAACTGTGCCCAACTTCAGTGTGGTCTTTATAAAATGAACCTGGTGCAAAACAAGACTGCTACAATAAAAGAGACAAAACAATTTAAAGATCAACACACCAAATGTCAATTTAAAACTGCATCACATTTCATATTTAAGGACAATTATTTAAAACTTGGGCATGGAAACAAGATTAAAATAAATCTGAAGCTCTTTTCATTTTCTTTTTTTTCTGCGTGTGCGTGCGCGCGCGCGCGCGTGTGTGTGTGCGTGTGTGTGTGTGTGTGTGAGAAAGTGTTTTTTTTCTTCTTCGTTAAATCAGTTTCAGAATGTTTTTAGATCTATCATAATAGTTTCCACAACAGAAATTGATAATCTTTGATAGTTCTCATCATGATTATGCAAACCATCACCAATATGCTACAAAAAAAAACAAAGCATTACAATTGAAGCTGATACTGAGTATTTCAACTGCTATATAACAGAGTTGTAGACAAGAGTTGCCAACCAAAGATAATTTTCTAAAGATGTGTTAGGGATGAGCTGTAGCATGTTAGTAAAGTACTGAACTTTACATGCTTGTCTTATCATAAACTAGCCAATCTATCAGTCTATTCACTGCCTCACAAACCTGAATATTCTGGGCAGAAAATATGCTCAAAAAATCTCTTGTCAGCTGCTTTGCTATTTATTTATTTAACTTTCTCTCATGCACAAAAACTCTTAAACTAATTGTTTTCCTCCCTCTGTGCCTGCTAACTGAAGGTTTGGCACCCAAGCAAACCCAGATGTAAATCCAGCTGGAACTAACCCCAGATGCATTGTTCAACCTTCTAGAGCGGTTATATTTGGGGTATAGGGCCTGTTAAATGGTAAGAATGCTAGGCTTTTGTGTGGAAGACCCGGGCTCAATATCTCAGTAAGGTGAAAGAGGTTCTTCTGTCAGGAGCAAACAAATAAACATCCCAACCTGCACAGTTCATGGTAACTGCACTAACCATATGGTCCGAAACCTTATGCTTAAGACCACCTCTCTCTCTCTCTCCTGTACCACCCTAGTCAAACAAATAGGCAGCAATGACAGTTTTTTTTTAAAATTTCTAAGACAACTGCAAGTATTATCTTAATGCAACCTACTGTCCTAGGTGGGGGAGGGAAAAGTCTCTGACTGGCCTTACCAAAGGAGTGGATGAATGCTGCCTCTGACATGGTGTTATAACACTCTGAAGATGGCTGAGTACACTGGCTCTCAAGGTCCAAGGACACATAAGACAGAAATATCAACATCAATTTCTCTGCTACCATCTCTACACTGAAGCAGACTGTAGTGTATTTCCAACACCCTCTGCCCTATCTCCTCAGGTGAACTTTACTCACAAATGCTTCTTCCAGTCACTTTCTCATTCATTAAATCAGACTGAGAATAAACTATGGAAATGTTCTAGGGCACACTTAAATTTAAAACTATTGTCTGTTATCTGCGACATTGTGAAACCTTTAGATAAATGCAAATGGCAATCTCCAAATGTGTTGTGGCGCTCACTATCAACAGATACCTGTGAAACTGCGTTGTACAAGAGACTGGCACTTATGGTATGTAAATTCATGTGGATCATTGATTCAGAGACATTTTCAAAAACGTTCACGACAACAATGAATAAACCATTCATGTTCAAACTTGATTTTGTCAATTCAAATATAAATTTGTGCACTGAATATTTTGATGTCTCATTATCAATCAATTGTATCATTTCCTCTTTCCAAACAATAGTATTAAACCGTACAACAGGGAGGTAGGGAATCACAACCCCTGGTGAAGATCAGTGTGACAAGTAATAATTCCATGAAGATCAGTGTGACAAGTAATAATTCCATGAAGATCAGTGTGACAAGTAATAATTCCATGAAGATCAGTGTGACAAGTAATAATTCCATGAACATCAGTGTGACAAGTAATAATTCCATGAAGATCAGTGTGACAAGTAATAATTCCATGAAGATCAGTGTGACAAGTAATAATTCCATGAAGGTCAGTGTGACAATCATTCCATGTTTAAACTTCTCCCACAATAAATGCATGGGATTTCAGAATCATTGTTGCCATCACACGTATCTGATTTTTCTTCTCAAACGCTCAGCTCATAACCTTTTTGCGGTCATTTTCTGTTTTGCCAGAATTCCCTTCCTGATTCCACCCAGCACAATCTATAGCATCCTGGTCCCATGAATTCATCTCTATACCTGTATCATTCATGTCCTGCTTGCGCACATCCTTATTCTGTAATAGAGGCTGATCTTGATCATTTCTACCCAAAATGTCTGATCTGCAAATGATAATTAGTTTTAGTTGTCTTCTATGTTACAAAAACAAGCCCATGTTAGATACTGGTTGTTAGATATGGCTAAAAAGCACAATTTCCTGGTTTTGAAAATGTTTGATCAACATAAAGTTTTCAAAATCCCTAACTTATAATAGTTTCTGATAACTATACTGCTTCAAGGAATGAGTAAATCAACAAAAACAGAAAAAAACTGGTCAGTTTGCTCTTTTATTCACATGATCACTAAAACCCTATTGCTTGGACTAAAAAAAAAAAAAATAAGTAACGGCAGGATAGACAAAGGCATTCTAGCTGTAGTGTTCATTCTGTCACTTACTGTATTCTTGTAGAATTGATAAATTTCGATTTTCCACATTTGCAGTTCATACTATTTCATTTACTGCTTCTTCTATTCTTTTCTTTTTTTTGGGTATCACATTCAAAGGGTGCATACACAAATTAGTTTCATTCATTAGGTTTCAGTTAATTAATGTGTGCATGACACAGAGAATACTGACCACTGGTTATTTGTGGTCATTACCAGTTGTTACACTGTAAGTGTTTATACAATGAGTACTGTTATACAGTCAGTAAAGTCTTGGTATACCTGAGTACATATGAATAATTAAAACAAGTCACAACCTTTCACCTGATTACAAAATATACATTCAAGTTTTTCTACATAAATCACATTCTAGGGTGCATATATAGCCAAATACAGCCAAAATATAATCAAATATTGTCAAACGTTGTACAACCACCTTCTTCACAGTTCTTCTTCTGGGATAGTTCGTGAACAAAATGGTCTATATAACGTCCTCTGCAATACGCTTAATTAATTTGTTTGCGTGGTTGAGATTTCAATCTAGCTAATTCTAGTTGAATTTTGAAGGAAGAGCTGATCAAATTGTTATTCTGCAGTTGCAAGGGGCTTTTAAAGCAGCTCAGATGTTATGTTCATATTGGACTAAGTGATAACTATGTCACAATTTAAGAGATCAATAGCATTATTAAATACATTAACATTCATTGTGCCAACTAGGGGTGTGAGTTGCGGGAGGGAGGAGGGAGAAACAAAATATTACAACAGATTATAGACTGAGTACTTAAACTGTTTGATTTAATATCAGCTTGGTTGTGACAATTAATAAAGTGTAATGAAAAATTGCTGGGATTGTGTGTATGGGTGTGAACAACCTTGTCCTTGTCTTTGTGAATCTGCGTGTGTTTTTGTGCATCTATATATTTGTATTTTGTGTGTGTGTGTGTGCATACTTATGTGCTGATCTGTGTGCAATGTACATTAAATTACAACATTATTTTCCCCTTTCAAAAAAACATTTTACACACACCCTATATGAAATTTAAAAAAAATGTGCTGATGTCAGACGTCTGGACAGATGTAACAGCCATGGTAAACCTTATATACGTATCTGAAAGAAGCTGCAGTTCTATTCACTCTCAACACTACTGCTGCTCATATGCAGTACTTAAAACCACAAACCGAATCACTGGCTGATCCCTAAAACCCACAGGCCAATCAATCATGAGGTCGGTGATATTAATCTTGACTACTCACACACACAAAAACCCTCTATGCTGCATGAATCCACTGGCAGCTTCTAAGACTCTTAATTCCACAGATGTGCTGACACAATCTATGATGTGGTGTGTTGTTTGCTGGGCTCTTTACTTTCTACTTCACTGTTTTCTTTTTTCCCATTAGGTTTGTTACGGAAGAACAACAAAGGAATCATGCCCAGAAAACAGCCAATTGTTACACCAATCACTTTTCCCTGGAAGAGAAAAAAAAAAGGAGCAATTAAAAACACAGTTAACATTTTGAAAAAAAAAAATTCTGCAGTTTGCATTCACATTATAAATAAGACTATAATGAAAGAATCAATAAAAAACAGGACATGTGTCAAATTTAACACGTTTAACTCTAATGAAACATGGTGAACAACTAAAACGACTACTATTAAATTACAAACATTCATTAACTATGGCCTGCACAAAATAGAGGGAATTAAATGGTATAGAATAATTAATGTTGAGCTTTGGGAAAGAACTAAACTTTGGGAAAGAACTAAACAAGTTCCAGTGAACCAAGAGGTGAAGAGAAGATGCTGGAATCTGACAGCACACATGTTGAGAAAAACTGAGAATAACGTAACTAAAATGTCTTTGTACTGGAACTCACAGGAGCCTACAAATAAAGGCAGACCCAAAAACATATGGAGAAAGGAGCTTGAAAGTAAAGTGAAAAAAATGGTGAGTACATGAGGGGCGATCTACATGCAACAGCAAAGGCTAGAACTACCTGGCTGAGTTGGCTTGGGGCCTATGTTCCACTGGGAAACATAGGGCAGAAGAAGAAGTACAGAAGAGGTAGGAAAAAGCCTGATTATAATCGAGATGAAGGTAATGATGATACTTACTAAATTGGAAGCCCATTTTGTGCTCTTCATGTCAACCTGCTCTGGACTGAGATGAGGATGTCGCAGGCCAAATCTGGACACTGTAGTTTCAACATAATGTGCTGACCTGGATGACATAGATTAATGACACTGTAGTTTCAACATAATGTGCTGACCTGGATGACATAGATTAATGACACTTTAGTTTCAACATAATGTGCTGACCTGGATTACATAGATTAATGACACTGTAGTTTCAACATAATGTGCTTACCCGGATTACACAAATTAATGAGATTAGCCACTTAGAGACAACAATCTCTGCAAGCACAGACACACATTCTAGTAACATTTTCCTTGTAACGACAAAAGGGTACAGATGTGCATGTGCGCACATAAGTGCAGGTCCAACTACTATGAGGACCATAAGAGAAGAAAAGAATAGTATCGTAACCTTCCAGCAATGTTATAACAGGGACATTTGGCATGACACTGCTGTAATCCCATGTCAGACACTGCTGTAATCCCATGTCAGACACTGCTGTAATCCCATGTCAGACACTGCTGTAATCCCATGTCAGACACTGCTGTAATCCCATGTCAGACACTGCTATAATCCCATGTCAGACACTGCTATAATCCCATGTCAGACACTGCTGTAATCCCATGTCAGACACTGCTTAATCCCATGTCAGACACTGCTGTAATCCCATGTCAGACACTGCTGTAATCCCATGTCAGACACTGCTGTAATCCCATGTCAGACACTTCTATAATCCCATGTCAGACACTGCTGTAATCCCATGTCAGACACTGCTGTAATCCCATGTCAGACACTGCTATAATCCCATGTCAGACACTGCTATAATCCCATGTCAGACACTGCTATAATCCCATGTCAGACACTGCTGTAATCCCATGTCAGACACTGCTGTAATCCCATGTCAGACACTGCTGTAATCCCATGTCAGACACTGCTGTAATCCCATGTCAGACACTGATTTTGACGGTAGCTCCAAGTCAGGAATTAGTTTGATGGACAGATACATGTATAGGGAATCACAAAGAGAATGTGAGAAAAGCCACAAACATTAGACCATTTATTTAACATCCTAATGAACTTTTAAAAATAAAAGTTAAGGGCCTCACATAGCTTTGGATCGATATTTTTAATAAGCCAGAAGTACCATGAGTGTTGTGCCTTTACTTCCTTGGTAATTGCCTGGTACATATTTCCAGGCTGCGACAAAAGTGGAAGCCAAAGTCATCTGGTAAAACATCCACAACAATGTGGATTGGAACTCAAAGGTTTTTGGGTTGGCAGGCAAACGCTTAGCCATTGATATGTTTCGACTCTTAATGACTTTTCAGTAGTGTACACAAATCTACAACTGTTACTATATGTAACTAAATTTTACATTTGGTTTGCAAAAAAAAAAAAAAAGTATAACTAACTTGTGTCCACCTACGCATTTTACGAAATAATATTCAGCTCCTATACAATTTCAATAACAGTCTGACAATTGTGGGTAGGTCTCTGTGTCTCTAGGTAATCAATATTGTAGACCCAATCCGCCACTGCCACAAAGTGAATTTAAAAGTTTTGAAGTGTAAAGACAAGGTGATCAATTTCTGGGCGAGGTTTTATCTCTCTGCAGAATAGCCAGCCATTTCTCAAAATTATCACATAAAATATGAACTCTGTAGCTCCAGCAACAACCACCCAAGGGATGTCCACAAAACTGCACAAATGATTTACCCAGTCTCCTAATGCAGAATGACATGCCATTTGCCGAGAGCATCACATAAAATGTGAACCCTGTAGCTCCTGTAACAACCGCCCAGGGATCTCAGTAATACAGCATGTTTTACAAAACTATGAATGATAACTTACCCTAAACCACACACGTCTGAGATCCAGTTGCCAATCGCTGCAGCTGAATACACAGATAAAACACACAGAATTATATAATGTCAATGTATACAGCTATTCAAGTAAGTTTACTCAGGGGCCAAAATGTTGGAAAACGGAGATTGTAACGGGCCAGAAGCCAAAGTCCCAGCATAGAAAGATCATTATTATAATACATTTGGTAATGATCGTGGGCCACTTGCTAGGCCTCTGCGGGCCAGATTTGGCCTGCGGGCCGCCAGTTGAATAGCCATGCCATCTAACATCTAATAAGCATTAAACAGTTGGATAACTCAGTGTTTCCCAAACTATTCTTAGTCGCTGCGCTTTTTTTCAATTACAATTTTTGCACCGCGCCCTAACCTAACTAAAACTATGACTATTCGCATGTAAGAGATTAAAAAAAAAAAAATTAAATTCGCGTATCTTTGAATATTTCGTGGTTTCCCTGTGAAGAGGTCGCGGCTCCATGGGGCGCACAGTTTAGGAATCACTGGCATAACTGTCAAATACTGAAGATTATGAATACAAGTAAAGTAACTAAAAACTAATCAGTTGTCTATTTTTTACAGAACCAACCCCCATAATTTTTTGGCTGGTTTGCCATTTCACTAGGCAAATTTACGTTCAGCAGTTTGCCACTGCTTCTGTACGGTCAGCTCTCGATACCCCTGTTGAAACCAATACAAGGCAGTCTACTATCAAACTGCTTGCAGCTGGGTTCTAACCCAGCAGCTGATTTGTCCACAAACTGCACCTTCCATATCCGTTATCTCCAGGCCCACCATGGCATTTAATATTGTCAAAATAACCAGCTTTTCGTAGAAGCTGCTGTTTTGAGCTAATTCTTCTCGATGTTCAAAGTGTGTAGAATGTCAAACAGGTGTCCACCCCTCCCCCCCCCCCTTTTCTCTGTTTCTCTCTTCCTCACCCTACCCCTTTTCCCCCGTAATATTACCCCCTTCCCCACCAATCTCTGTTTCACTCTTCCTCACCCTACCCCTCCCCCCCGTCATAATTTCACCCCCCCCCCCACTTTTCCCTATCAGATCTGCTAGTGGTCACTGCTTTTTGAAATGCATTTATCCCCGCAACACGACCACAAATTGACAGTTTCTGGATTTATGCCACTGAAAAAGCAACTTCAACATTTAACTGAAATTACATGTTTTACCTTCAATTCTTAAAGTACTAATTTACGAACAAATAAGCATAGAGACATTAAATATATTCTCCTGTCATGAAAGGTTAGTTGCGTATCCTTTACAGGACGTTGCAGAACCAACCCCAACAGCCCCTGGCTGTTGTGTGGTTTTTCTAGGTAAATTTACGTCCAGTAGTTTTGTAACTGCTTTCTGGACGGTCGGCTTTCTTAATACCACTATCGAAGCCAACGCAAGGCGCATGGCCCGCAGCTGGGATCGAACCAGGCATCCCGGCATCACGAAGTGTTTGCATCGACTTAGCCACAGAGCCGACCCTGTCATAAAGACGTAAATAAAATGCCCTTTCTATAACAATGCAGGTGAACTATTCATGAGGGGCCACATTAAACTTGGTGAATTCCGCAGGCCATAGGTGTGGTTTTAGATTTCTGATCAATATATACTACAAATGAGACAAGGGACTTGCTACAGACACTGAAGTGTCCTATCTTTCAGAAGTACACAATGCTAAAAGCTAATCAGAAACATAAGAACAGTAAGTGAGGGGATGAGAGGCGGAGAGAGGCGGATAAGAGACAGGAGGAGAGACACACAGACACAGTGAAAATGAGAGAGAGAGAGAGAGAGAGAGAGAGAGAGAGAGAGAGAGAGAGAGAAAGAGACCAACCAAGAGAGAGAGAGAAAGAGACAGAGGTGCAGAAAGAGACAAAGAGCGACACAGGGAGAAAAAGACAGATTTTTTTTTTTTTTTTTTTTTTAGTATCCAGAAGCCATGAGTTGTTAACCCTTAGGCTCGGTATTATGGATATCGCAACCTTTCGGCCTTGATTCCATTGTAAATACCGTAAATCTGGGAGAAAATGTGGCTTTCCTGCCTACCCCCGGGATTGAACCCGGACCACAAGGAGTACGTCACCCGGTCTCCGCGAAATCCGGTTTAGCCAATTCCGCTAGAGAGCCGGGCAAAAAGACAGATAGAGAAAGAGAAAAATAGACATACACAGACTGATAGAGATAGAAAGAAGAGATAGAGAAAGAGATACACTTTATTTTCAAAGAGTTACAGTACGTAATAGATCCAGAGCAAGCAAGCGCGTAAGAGGCAAACAATAAACTTTATATTTAAAGACCTGTAAACTGAGTAAAAAGTATATTATAGATTCACATGAAACTAGAATTCTAGAAATAAAAATGAACACTGATATGAAAACTACTAGCAAGCGATGTGTGTTGTGTGTGTGTGTGTGTGTGTGTGTGTGTGTGTGCATATGTGTGGACACTCATACAAATTAGGAGTTAATAAACATTAAAAAAAAATATTTATAATAGGGACAGCTCAGCTTGTTTACGGTTAGAGAAAAAGTGAAGCAAAGACTGAAATGAAACTGGATTTTAGAAATAATCCCGAATAAGTAAAGTTAGTTGCATATTCATTATTGGACGTTGCAGAACGAACCCCAGCATTTGTTCGCTGTTAGTGATTTCACTAGCAATTTTACTTTCATTAGTTTGCCAGTGTCGGCTCTGTGGCTAAGTCGATGCAAACGCTTCGCAATGCCGGGATGCCAGATTCGATCCCAGCTGCGGGCCACGCGCCTTGTGTTGGTTTCGATAGTGGTATCAAGAAAGCCGACCGTCCAGAAAGCAATGACAAACTACTGGACGTAAATTTGCCTAGAGGCTATTGGGTTTGGTTCTGCAACGTCCTGTAAAGTATACGCAACTAACCTAGTTTGCCAGTGCCTCGAACCCGGCATCATGGAATTACCGGCATCATGGAATTACAAAGCGTGTTCGCAACGCCTAAGCATAGACGTAGCAAATACTGACATTAAAAATAAACATTACCAACTTTTTTTTTTTTACCCCTGAAAACGGAGCTCTCTTGGGTACTAAAATCAATACTCACGATAATCTCCTGTCTACAACGACAGCAGAAATGGAATGCATATGAAGTTTTAACAAAATAAAAATGGGTGGCAGAAAAAAAAATATTCACAACGTTATTAATATTGTAAAGCTTACTCAGCTTACTGATCGACGGAAGCGAATTTTGAGACTAAATGGACAATGAAATTAGAAAAGTTGGATAAAAATCAGAGAGGCAAATGAATGGCGAAACAGACAGTTCATAAATCTAGTCGAATTTGTGTTTCAGTTTCTAGGATTCAGCTAATATGCTTCATTTTAATCAATTGTAGTATGCACCTGACGAGATACAGAGAAATCTGCCAGCCAATAAACTGTGCAGTCTATTGTTTGTGTCTTCTTTGTTCCAATTCATAACGGAGAAGCACTGCTTTGATCATCTCAGATAAGACTAACAAACCTTGTTGAACTGAAATGCTCACGCTTACGCGACTTGAAGACTTTTGACGGTTAGGTTTTTTTCATGTTAGTTTAGTTGAGTTGAGTAAAGAACTGACATCAGAGCACTCGGGGTATTCCCATGCATGCTCCGTCCTTATCTTCAGCAGCCAGCGCAGAGTTCCAATACTGATGGTACCAGTCACAATCTGGTTAAAAGTCCGTCTCGCCTTTCCTCTGAGTGTAGTGAACCAGCCAGACCCCCTGGTTACACCCAAGTGCCTCATTCTCTCCAGGCCATAATAATTGTCTTTCACTACTGATTCCGTTGCTTGTTACCAAAGGGCCTTGACCACATCTGCCTTGTCATGTATCAATTCACCACCCAATGGTGCGGATCTAGCCAATATGTCTGCCTGTTCATTACCCACCACGCCAGCATGCCCTAGAGAAAAGATCCAAAGTATGCTCACCACCCGTGACCTTTCCAGTGAAGCTAGCCACTCTGCTAGAAGCCTTCTTGTCCTCACCTTTTTCAGCATGCTTTCAGAGTCTGCTACAATTATGAAATGTGTATGCATCTTGTTCTCTAGCCACCGGAGAGCTGCAGTTACCGCCTCCACTTCCATTCTCATGCTAGCTGTTGTCGTGTCATATGCTAGGCTGTCTTGCACTAAAGATTTTTCACTGGCTTTCGCTACGATCACCCAAACCCAAGCATTTCTCTTTTCTCTCAACACTGAACCATCTGTATAGATAATCAGATAATCTGGGCGTGAATTATCGTGAATTAACTGTTGGACTTCAACCTCCCTAGCACCCACTGGTCACTCTCTGCACACCCGGCCCAATGTTATCATAACCCTATACAGGTCAGACATTCCCGCTTGTACTCTGACCCACTCCTCTCCTCGCCCAATGTTCTCCAGCATGTAAGCTTGTCTTATTGTGTCTTCTGCTTGAGCCATCCACGACTTTTCCTTTTTCAGCCTCTGACCCTTGCCTGCAGCCAAAGCTTCATACAGAGGATGTTCCCTGTCTGCAGCTACTCTGATGTATGACTTAGCCTGCAGCACCTTTACCCTATCTGCAATAGTCGGCAATGCAAGGATGTATCGCATGCACACAATCAAGGTGTCTATTGTACATCCCAGGATCACCAGCATAGCTTCATTCTGTGTGCGCTCAAGTTTCTCTTGCTGACTCTTCGAGACAGTGAATAACCCAATCCATAATCAATCACTGAGATGATTCAGTGCTGGTAAAGTGTGAAGAGCATTCTCAGCTCCATGTCCATCGCTGCCATAATCTTTAGTGAGTTTAGACCTTTTTGAGCCCTTGTCACAACCTCCTCTATGTGATCCCTGAAAGACAAACTTCTGTCAAAGATCATTCCCAGGTACCGCAGTCAGCTGTCTCTTTTGATGTCCCTGCAATTTATTTTGAGTCTGGGAACATCAGCTCTAACAATCCTGTTGTCTAAAGAACACCACAGGACGGTTGCCTTGTATGGGGTAATTACAGCATCAGTCTGTACACCAGTAAATCACCTTAACTACTGTTGCCTGTAACTCTTCAGCTATTTGATTCCAATCTCTTCCCCTCCTATATACAAGAACAACATCTGCAAATGTCAATATTCTGACAACTCCAGGTGTTTCCAGGCAGGCAATCTTGCTCGTAAAAACATTGAACAGTACATGTGAAACTGCAGATCCCTGTGGTAGTCTTGGAGCTATAATACAAGGCTGTCTGTCGCACTTTCTTTAAAGATAGAAACACCACAATCATTCTGAGTCTGCAGTGTTCTCCAAGTGGTGAGTGGGTTCTGACTTAGGTTCTGACTGTTTAACATCATCATGGAGAACTTATAGACGTTGCTGCAGTCTCGAGGCAACCTTCGATGACTGAGCATGCATGGGAATGCCCAATTTGAAGTGATGTTGACTGTGATAACATTACATAACATAACACGTGTAACCTAATGATAACATAACATAAGTCATGTAACCTAATGATAATATAACATAAGACATGTAACCTAATGAGATTATCACACATGCACGTATGGTCACATCATGCATGGTGCCTTGTTGGAAAGTGAAAAGTTTATGTGCATGATAGTTGTGAAATGTAGTGATTTTCAAAGCACAGTACCTGCCATAGTGCTGATTCCAAGGGCAGCTCCCAGTGTCAAATCAATGTATTCACCCTAAAGTTGACGAGAAAAATAAACACTGCTTTAACCAGAAATGCCCATTTAGTCAATGTGCATGTAGGAAACAAAAAGATACCTTAAGATTACCTAATGGTATAGCCATTTTTTGTTTTTCCATTTGTAAATTGAAATGAAGAGTAGGTAAAAAATATTCTCTACAATTTATTGCTTAGAATATTCAAGTATTCTACTTAGATGCATTCTACAGAATGTGTGCAAACCAGCAACATCTAGTTGGGCTAAGAGTGGCACCTTTTTGTCTTTTCAGACAACAGTCTTATACTGCGCTATGGGGAGGCATGGAACTCACAGCCCATGGCGATGGCGAGTGTGACTAGCAAGACCCGCCCGTTTTAAGAAAAGTCTACCACAATTATAGCATGGGATTTCTGGATCGCTGTTGTCAACATTCGTGGTTAATTAATCCGTTTCTTCTCAGACGTTTAGGTCTCGATCTTTCTGCAATCATTTCTTCCTCCATTCTCATTCCCTTCCTGATGTGTGCCCTCTACACAACACGGTCCATGGCATTTTGTTCCAACGAGTCCACCTTAATACCTGTATCCTTCATGTCCCACTTGTACACGTCTTTATACTGTAGCAGAGTTCGGCCTTAGCATCTTCTACCCGTCTTTAGTTCACCATAAAGGATGTCCTTAAGGACTCTGCCATCCTCAATTCTCCAGGTGTGACCCAACCACCTGAGCCTTCGTAGACTGAGCATTGAGAAGACTGTTGTAGTACCTGCTCTTTTCAATACCTCAGTGTTTGTGATTTTGTCCTGCCACTTCGATGAGGTACAAGGTGGAAGAGAAGAAGAAGAAGAAGTGTTTGTGATTTTGTCCTGACACTTAATGCCAAGTATTCTAAATTAGGCTAAGATTCCATGGTAAAATGCAAAGTAAAATAATGGACAATATGCCTTGTGTATTCAGATAAAGTATTAACTGTTATGTTTAAATGTTGGTGTAAATTCTATTGTATGCATCTGATGTGATACAGCAGAATCTTAGTCAATAAAAAGTAAAGGACCTGTTAAAAGGCCAGTGGTGCACTGGGTCAGAAGTGACAGATCAGTCAGCGCTCGATGGGAAAAGTAATCAGCATTACGCTAAGCCACTGTTACTTCCGAGGAAATTACTTTACACCTATTTTTAGATTAAGTTGACCTAATTCATACTGAAAAAGAAATAAGTCTCGATGTGGATTTGAACCCAAGACCAAAGGGTAGGCAGACGAGCGTTTAGCCATTGTGATACCATGGTACCCACAGCAAAATATCTGAGGCAATAAACGTGCAATGTATTCCTTATGTTTTCATTATTTGAACGTGTAACTTTCCCAAGAGGGTTCTGGGGTCCCATTTAAAAAAAAAAGGGGGGGGGGGTGGAGAATATATCCAGTGCCCTTTCATGAAGCGTATTGTAAAAGACAACTAACTGTGGATTTTTCACCCGAAGTTCTAGCATATCTGCCTAAGAAGCGAGGAACCAACAGTCTACATACAAATAAGTAGATCTGTTACACGAATGTGCACAAAGAATTCACGCTTTGAAACAAGACTCAAGTCCAGTTAACAGCCAGAATAACCTGAACTTTCTGCCGGAGTTTACAGCTGGAGAAAGCTAAGAAGAAGCTTATCTTGTGTAAGATTATGTGAGCATCTGTTGACAACAGGCGGCGTATTTATTCAAGTGATCTTTGTCAGATATCAAGATATTAGTTGAATCTACATGTAGAATCTGGGAAACCAACTATCACTAGCATCATCAGCAATCACCCCCCCCCCCCCCCCCCCTGTGACAATACGCTCTGTGACAATACGCTCGGTGACTTCAGAATGTCTTTCCTCAACCTACTTTTATTTGTATGTATTTTAAAGTATACAGAAAAATAGGGATTTGGGTACATCCTTAATCTAAGTAGGCGACCTGAACAAGCATTTAATTTTCCTGGACTAAAACACTAAAACTTTTTCCCAGAGGTAAAGTGTTAACGTACAGAGATAAGACTGACCAAGCAGACTTACTGACTGGAGATTTGCACACCATTTGTTGGTGTCAGATATGTATCTCCTAGGCAGACCATTAGGAGCACATAACTCCGGCTAATTGTGTTTAATTCCCCCTGAGGTTACCTAACTCGAGGGCAGGTCCGACGGTCACTATTGACATGGTGAGCAGAAAGTGTTAACAGAAGAATTGACACCGTCTGATTTTATTGTGATGGCAGGTGAAGTAGACTGGAGGTGTGACTTGTCCTATTTGCTCTGGTCAGATGAATTGACCAGGAGATCCTAGCGTGGGAATTTAAACAAGTGTTGTACAGCTATGACTGACAGCGAATAAACTTACCCACAGGGGAGGAGCTGTGACATCCTTGAACGAGAATGGTTTTAGGCGTAATGTAGGAGGAGCTTAATAAAAGTTATAAAGGGGTAAACTCTAGGTCTGGTAAATGAGACTCTGTCCAGCACATGCCATCTGTTGGGCTTAACCTAAGCTTGAGACAGAACTTTGGGCATCGTGGTTTCATTTTCCAGGTAAGAACGAAATTAGGTTCAAATCTATATTTTGTGATAGAAATCTAACTGTCTTTTTGCTCAAGTGTGGTCTTCATCACTTTGTAGTACTGCTTAGCGGACAATTCTCCATTCTCTTAGAGCACTGTCACATTGCTTTATATCCTCTTTGATAGTGTCATGAATGTTTTTCGTGCACATGTGTTTCAATGTTGTAAAACTTAAATGTTGATGTTACCATTGAAATTTAATGAACTATTATGTTTTTGAAATCACAAGCGTGAAGATAACTTTGGCAATCTTTTCACGTGTGGTTAATGTGAATCTGTATTACATCCAGCTAACAAACTGAAATGTGTTTAACTCTCGGGAGGCTAATGCGGAGATTGATCCCGGAGAGTAAATCCACGAGATTTGTTATTTGATTCGCCTCAGAAATATTGTTAGCTTTCTGGGCGAGTCCATTGTTCCAAGCATGGATTCCAGAACTTGTTCTGTCTGACTGAGTGTCATTTGAGTCTGTACGAGAGATGGCACCTGACGTAGAAGACTTGACTATCATTACAGGACTCGTGTAGAGGAAGGCAGTAGATGTAACAGTTGGAATGTGAGACATAAGACCTTCCAAAAAGGACAGGAGTGAATGTGAACATGAGGGAGAGATGAAATGTTTTATTTAAATAAACATGTTTGATTTTATTATAATATACATGCTTAGTGTACATCTAGAGCAGATACTACAAATATGCGCTTGTTTCTTCATTCTCCAGTTCCCACATTGGGCAGGGACTAGTAGGCATCCATTATTTGCCGACCGTCTGAGTGTAACGACCTGCTGAAAGCAGTGAGGACGACAAACTGGAAAAGACAGGCAGGGTCTCAAGCCGAGAACTGTCCAAAGGTTGTTACTTTCCAATACCTTTATGATTTCATCATTCACATCATTTCAACTCTACTAGCCTAAACAAGTTCATTTTAATTTCGATTTATTCAAATAAATCATGTTTGATGTTGTTACAAAATAGTTGAGTAAATTGTGTACTTAGGTTCAAGTGTCTTTGTGCATATTAGTTTACTTCAGCTAACAAATATTTAAATCACTTGATAGGGGCTTTTAAGTAATGCCAGGAGAGGAGAATAGTCGGAGGGGTTAACTGTGTATCGGGATTATATAACAGTGGGTTTATCCTGATATCTATCTATCCCTTCTCCTACTCCTGTGGATACAAGTACAGCAACTTTCATTTCATGGAACGAGCCACTCGCTGTTTTCTTGGCTATCCAGGACTGTCTAGGATCAACATAGCTTAGATATTAGTCCAGTTTCTCACGTGGGTGGGCATTGTTAAGGTTCAAACCCACACCCTCACTAATTCAGTGTATTTACCCACCTGGGCGCGCGACACCCCCCCCCCACTCCCCCAACAAAGAAAAACGGAACATGAGCTACGACTAAGAAGCTAAAAAACGAAGGGGCTGGAAAACACAAGGTTAGTTGCGTATTCTTTTACAGGTTGCTTCCAAAATCCCCGGAACATCCTATCTCTTTAACGGCATTGACAATGTCTGCGTGATCAATGGGCCGGCCATGTGCAATTAATGCGGAACCCGCTTTTAACACACCAAATACATGGAAAAACTGGTCCTAACACAACACCCATAGAGAGTGCTGCAACCTATATCACATGCATTCTCTTTCTCGGAATGAAAACGTAAATGAAAGACATCACAGAAAGTAAACATAGCGGGACACATCAGTAACCTTCAGGAAAGTCGACCAGCTCAACAAACTTGTAAATGAAAAGTGACCTACTCTGTCTGGGGAGATTAACGTGAACCTAACTCACCCAGCCAACAATATTCAATTTGTTGACCCACCTATCCTTCAGTCATAATCTTAGATATTAAGCCTATCAGTCCCAATTAGCTGTTACTTGAACAATGTTTATCCTAAAGTTTGAATACCTTAGAAAAATCACTTTTAAGTCATGCGAATTAATGAAAAAGCGTTCGGACAAAAAAAGTTAAGGTAACATCTAAGCCAGAACAGATAAACATAACAGAAGAGTGGGCCAGAAGGAGTAAATAAATGTTTACAGTACAAACAGTAACCAATGAACCAACTATGTGTTCTCTGGAATTCAAAGAATTAACATGAACTGAAATAACAAGGCATGGCAGAATCATGGATTCCTTTGGGAGGGAACTGGATGCGACAACGGCTATAGCCTCAAGCTTATTTGTCACTAACCAGTAATAGAAGTTATGTAGCTGAATAACGTGGAAGGTCAAATGTTTCACGAACAGACAGCACTGTTCCTACGTTATCCAATAAACTGGAACATAAACATGGCTTAATATCTGCTATTTCGGTAGCGAAATAAGTTTCAGACTGTACTTTAAATAAAGAGTGGCTGACCGAGTGATTACAGCATTGGGCGCTCACGCGGGAGACTCGTGTTAAATCAATAGT